TTTACTATCAGCGAGAACAATTTTATCTAGTCCGGCTACATCGCCTTCTTGAATTTTTTTCCGCACTCCCTCGTATTCCTTGGCACTTAAAGTAATCAGGTAATTTTTGGCTCGCCGGTGAACGTTTTTTAAAGCCAATCCTTCCAAATCGGCTTGTTTATATCTTTCCCGTAAAGAGGTTTTAATACTTAAAGTNATAGGNTAATTTTCCGAACTATATAAAACAATATCGTAGGTAGCATTCGGCACAAAACTAATTTTGGCTTGAATATAGAATGGCAATATCTTTTTTGAATATAAACACATGATTACCAAATACTCAAATATTGCTCCGTTATCATTCCTGGTCAATTCATTACTTAATACTTTTTCCCATGATAATTTTATAAATTCCGAAGGTGATTTTATTTCTTGACCTCAATTTTCCCTACCTAGGGAACTTTTTATTTACTTAAAAACTTAGACTTTATTATTCATAAAAAATCTTAAAAAATACATAAAAAAGAAACTTATTTTAATATTCCTCCTCCTCTTTTCTCCTTTGTTCTAATTTTCTTAAAAAATCTAAAAATTTTTCTTGGCTTAAATCGCGAAGCCAAACGGTTGAAGGAACTCCCTCTGCTTTCCTAATTCTTTCTTCCGGGCTATCGAAGCCTTGGTAAGATAAGTAAATTTTTAAAGTTAAACCGAAAAAACGAGAAATTTTTTTATCGTCAATACCCAACTTTTCCTTGATTTCACGGATACTTAACCTATCACTCCCAAAGTCCAAATCTTTCGCGTGCCGGAAACTACCTAAAATTTTCCTAATTTTTTGTTTTCCTTCAAAATCACTTTCACTAAAAAAAATTTCCATTCTCTCGTAAAAGATTTTTCCGACATAAAAATAGGCAATTGAAATTGACCTATCCAATTTATCGCTTCTAATTTCTAATTTCCGAACTACTTCAATTAATTCCTCCAAACTCTTACCTCCCAAATTTTCGACTTCTACCAATACCACTTCTTTAATCTTGTCATTATTTTCTAACTTTATTAACCTTTCAATTTTATCCTCGAACTCGGAGGCAACTCGGTCTTGGGCTTTTTTGGCTTCTTTGCAGCGGAGACATTGAATTTCTTGGGAACGCTTAACGACACACTTCGAACAAACTTTTCTTTCGCAGGATGAGCAAGAGAGATTTCCATGTTGAAGTTTACAAATCTTACAGGCTTCGTAGTTGACATGAATAAGTTTGCCGTTTAATTTTACTTCGTTTTTGTTAATTTTAATTTCGTGGTTGCTAGGTTGGAGAGAAAGGTATTTTTTAATCGTGCTTATGGCTTCTAAAACCTGGTTGGGAAGGGCGGGGGTTTGGTCGGAAATTTGGGATGGAGAAACGAGATAATTGTTAACAATATTGGAGGCGTTATTTCCCATGGCGTAATTTTCAATTTCCATATGAACGATAGGAGAAAGTTTTTGGTCTTTACTCATAATAAAAGGTCTGTTTTTTAAAATTCCCTACCTAGGGAAAATTAACCTTATTTATAAGAAAACAAAGGAACGAAGCCGAATTTTTGTCTAACTCTTGGCAGAAAATTTTTTATCGGCGTAGAAACTGATAGAGTTTTTTAGAGCAATTTTTTTTAGGAGTAAATAGCGTAAGTGTTTCAGATTTTTAATAATAAATCTTTATTTGGTAAGTAGAAATGATTGACAAAATGTTCGGCGTAAATGATTATCAATAATTAAACCAAAAAAAGTTTTGCCGAAATTGATAATCAGATGGCGGAGTGATAGGCAAAATTGATTAACCAAATGGAGTAAAATTAACCGAGGGGGCTGAAACTTTACTATTGTTCTAATTTTAGAATGAGGTAATGTTAAGGGGTAATGTTTCAAACTTTTNGTAAGTGTTTCAGATTTTTAATAATAAATCTTTATTTGGTAAGTAGAAATGATTGACAAAATGTTCGGCGTAAATGATTATCAATAATTAAACCAAAAAAAGTTTTGCCGAAATTGATAATCAGATGGCGGAGTGATAGGC